TGGTCATTAGATATATCTTTTGATAGCCACGTTTCCGATATTCCAACAATATCAAGGTTGTTGTTTTGAACCAGTGTACTAAATTCATGAAATCTTGATATAACTGATCTGCAGTTTATATGACCAAATTTTAAAACCTTGAATTTATCACTATTAATATGCAATTCTAGATTTCAAGTATGTAACATGTTTTTTATAAGTTGGACAATCTAAGTCTTTAGAAGAATGACTAGTATCAAATTGAGTGTTGAATTTAGAATTGTGATTCGTACAGTTTGAACAATTCTTAAAAGCAGATTTACAATTTTTTTCCAAATGATCTCCAGCACATAAAGGACAATTTTTTTCCATGTGGCCAAAACCTGAACATTTATAGCAGCGTATAATTCGTACATAATCCCGCACTGGACTCTTTGCCAACCCATGACATGACATCAAAACAATCTTCAAGCCTACGAAGAAGATCCAACAAACCATCAGATCGACAAAGGACAAGAAGTACCCACTCTCAGCTGCAGGAGTCTACCGCATACCATATTCATGCGGCAAACCACGAAAAGATCAATGGGAACGAGACTCAAGGAGCACAAAGCAAATTGCCGGATAGGACAAACTGAGAAGTCTGCGGTAGCTGAACATGCACATCCAGATAACTTCAGCAGGAAGGAAGAGACCGTCAAACTCAACCCGATCTGGCACCTGATCCTTAAGAAATGCCCGAGCAGTGCCGATCGACATCCCGAAGTCAACCGAAGCGGAACAACCCACGTCACCTACCCTCCGGTATATATACAACCTGTGCAAGAGAAATCGTCATTCTACATCCAGCGTCGGAAATGGAAGGACCTCTGAAGAAGCTTGTCACTCGTGCTAGCGAAACCCGAATCAAGACTCTATGTATCGTTATGTTGTAGAAAATAAACGGGTCATCGTCATGTCCATTTCCATGTCCTTCGTACTTCTGTGGGCACCAGATCGAAGTACTGATTGATTTCTATGTGAAACTAGACCAGGGAACTGGTTTATATGACGAAACGGCTTCCAATGAGCAATTAATTTGCAGAATGTATGATTTAAGAAAATCGAAAAATCCTTATAACGTACTATTACTGGAAAATACAACAACAGGCAATCAGAAAGGGCATTCTAATGCATCAAAAATAATGATCAACATCATTAGAATGAGCACTCTCAGATTGTTTATTAGAAGAAATGTGTATGACCACATAAAAATAAATGGTGTTTGGCGGTTTCGTATTTTAGGAAGGTGTCATTTGCTCTGAAGCTTTCTAATGTTCTAAGTTTCATGTTTTTACAACATTTTGAATTTGCCCAGTTGCTATTTATTCCCAGTATATCTTCAGTGAAGCTTCACGGTACTGTGGAACAAAATTGCTCCTAGTAAACTGACTACTACTATAGGAATATGAAGCTAGGACACTGAAATGCTTAAAAAAATAAGAATCTGCATTTTATTATTGAGTAAATTCCTCCACTGTTGTCTGCTTGGTTAAACGCGAAATGGACTTTCTGTCTTTTTTTTGTAATTTCGAATATTACCTTTTCGATCTAATATTTTGGGTTATTGAGGAAACATGGTTGTGTGGCTTCCCATAGATTTGATCGAAAAGCCACAAGTACTGAAAGATCGAACCATTCTCACTAAACCAACATTACTATTTATGTCACATACGCGATGTTGTCGACAACTTCGAAACTTGTTATATATCAGGATTACAAATGATACAAATAAAAAAATATAGAAGCTGTTCTTTATTATTGAACAAGAGATAGTTTATCGCATCATAAATATCTCTTATCCCAGCAGTAGTAACCATGTCTCAGGAAAATATTGATACAAGTTTATGATTAATTTTAGTAGATGTATTAATGTAGGCAATGCATATACATTTAATATTTGTAATGTGTAGAATAAGTAGGTCTCACTCACCTTTTGTACGGACTTTTTTATAGCGGGTTAAGTGGAAGAGCAGCTACAGCTGAACTTCGCCCGTATTTGGCTATTTTTTTATATAATCAGTCCATTTGGAAATAAAGACGTTTATTATTATTATTATTATTATTATTATTATTTGCGCTTTTTTACGAATTCACAAAATTGCGCGTGTCTCAAAAATAAGTCGAGTTTATATTAAGGTATATGTGGATCACTCTGCTCAAAATGGGGTGTACCTTTAGAAAGTTAGTATCGACCTTCTGTATACAAAAGGAATTAGGTTCTGATGATAGTAAAAATCTTTGTAACTATATTTTTTTAAAAGTTTTCGAAAGGATAGTTATGAGTTAAAGGCACTTCAAGATTGTCCTTTGGTGCTCTACTGCAACGTATTGCGAGTGCAGCCGATGAGTTTCGATGTAAAGTCATTATTTTCGTCCTAGTTACAAGCAAGTGAAACTTGATACACTGCGGTAATTTAGGAAAATGGATATCAAAAATCCGTAAAGCCTCAAGTCGTTCTATTTGAGGGTTGAAGGGCATTCAAGACAGCTAGGTAGTGAAGACTGTCACCCTCCTATGACAATACCAACCTACCTGTTTATTTATTTAACTGGATGCCCGAGTTCCTCCAAAAAGCCGTTCATCTGGGTGGGTCGGAGTCCAGATCGCCGAGAACTTGGTCTGACACGAACACATCTCGTGAATAACGGCAGCTGCTGGGAACAAGGTAGGCTATTTGCTTAGGGCTAAAAAGTACTTTTCTCACATGAACTATCTTGGATTCAAATGCAATCTTTTGAGATGAGAAGGAAGTGTGAGTCAATTATTTTCTTGTATAAACTCCTGCACAATCAAATCGATGGTAATAACATTGCGACTTAACTAAACTTTAATGTCCCATCTATTCGAACTAGTATCGTTCAAACCTTTTATTGTGGCACAAATTTATTTTTGAAAGCACCCGTGTATGTAATGTGTGAAACTTGCCATATCTAACTATTGTGATATACATGCTGGCAGTTTGATCAGTATTCTGGGAGTAGCTAGGAAAACTTAAACAATTCTTAACATGTTTCTCTTCTTTTTCTTGTTTGCGTTTTCCTTTAGATAGAATCAGCTGCTTTTTGTCTTTTTTCTCTTTTAGTTACTGCGATTTATCTTAGGATTGTCCCGTAAATGATTTCCTTAACGTCGTAGGTCCCTTTTATTCAACAGCCTGTTTGAAGGAGTGTTTTTAATTATTTTTGTCTGATACCTTCACGCTGTATAAAGAGTAGATTGATAAGCAATATTAGTAATTTTTTTCATCAAAAAATGCATTTTTTTTGTCCATTTCATAGTTTGTAAACGAATAACAGTGTAGCTCTAATACTGTATGACAATATTCCACATTTGCAGTAGATTATATTGAGATATTACTTTTTCTCTTGACATTTTTTTTAAAAAAACCTTTATTTTTAAGAACCTAGAAAAACAGCAGTACAAACCATTGGCGTTAATTTTGAGAGAAACCCGCCTACCGCAGCGGATGATTGGCCGTAATCCGAGGTGACTATGCGTATCTCTTCGCCATGATGCCACGTTTCAGCATATTCATTCTGTTCGCTACTGTTGGAAGTGTATCGGTCGTGTACGATTTGTTGTTGTTAAGTCGTTTGTTATACCTTTGTTGTTGTCAAAAAATGCCCAAAAGTCATGCTGCATTGTCAAAACGGCGTAAGCGCACGCGTGGAAGCAAAGTTATTAAAAAGCTTTGCTAGCAAGGTAAGTGTTTCCGTTGTATATTCTAGTACTGACTGTAATAGTTGGAAGTATAGTTTAGATGAAATGGTTAGTTTTTTCAAGCTGGAGCACATAAACTGGTTTCACAGTGCCTCGTTGAAGCGTTTAAATTGAGTTGTTAAAGGTTAGATCAAATATTTTCTATAGAAGTTCCCATTTTCCCCAGTTTGGTTCACATTCTGGGCAGAGCAAAAAAGTTATATTCATTTTCCATCTCATCTCCAGTCTTGCCTTCAGATTTTGATCTCCACATCTTGCTTTTCTATACAGGTTGTTGTCAAGAAATTAAGTTGATAAACTATCTGCATCGCCTCTTGCTACTTTTGCTAAAAATAAAGTAGAAAGGTCATTCTTAAATCGCTGTATAAATGTTTTATGATATATCATACAACATATGGAAGCAAACGTTAGTCAACGGAACACATTGCACGCCACTGCAAGCGCAGCCTCTCCTTGAATTCGGCGGGATGCTAGCGCTCCGACTTTGTCAACAAAAAGATTCTAGGAACATAGCTATGCTCTGGTAATCAAAACCCACCGAACATATCAAATATACAAAAGGGGATCAAGGGTAATAAAATTAAAATCAGTTTCACCATCACCATCTTACTTTGAACTTCAAGTGACTATACAAGTCCAGGAATTATTTGGAATACGAAGGTTATAATGTAGAAAAAATGTTCAACATACAATAAATACCAATAGGCCCCAGCCCAAGTCCTAGATACGCCACTGAAGTTATGTATCATTGTTTCACCTAATCACTGACTTGTAATTCTTAAGTTGTGAATCGTGGATTTATTCTTGTGACAATTTGTTTTAGGTTCATTAGTCAACATATCAACGACCACGCAATTAAAAGTCATTCTCTTCTTATTTTTCAACATAACTGTTTGTAATTGTGAGTGTAATGTAACTATAGATACAATGTACATTTTTATAGACGAATAAATTGAATTGTTGATAGCAGGTACATAATTTTCCTAAAATGCTTTTTTCGATACTGAACTTTTTGCAGCGCCAGCGGAGCTGCCACGTCTCGTCGTGTTTGGACAGTGAAGCATATCATTCGCATGTAGGGATGCCCACGATGTATCGATGTATCGAAAGTATCGATATTTTTGTTTCGATTTTCGATGATTTTGCATCGATATTTTTGTTCTGATGTATCGAATGTATCGAAGTACTGCCTATAGATGTATCGAATCGCTTCACTATACCTAACAAAAAAAAAAGGAACATTGGCAACAATGCTTTGATGCCCTGCGTTCGGGGAATCCCATTTTTTTAACCAACACTGCAGAATTGTGCCGACTTGTAAACAGTTTTTTAGTGTTGTTTTGAAGGAGCTAATGTAACGTTATTTTCGAACGGTGCTGTTCAATTTTCGTATTTGTGTCTGTTCTACATTGAAATAACTAATAATTACATACTCTACAAGTAAGTACTTATTTGTCTTTACAAATTTGAATCATGTTGCGAACGCTTGTCGCAAACTTATTATTAATCAAAATTAGCATCGTATAAAACAAAAAACATTTTTATCTTTTTTAAGCTCAAAATGGCACCTCCAAAAAGCAACGTTTGGCGACATTTCTCAAAAAATTCAGCAAATACTGCCACTTGCCGTTAGTGTTCTAAAATTCTAAAAACTTCTGGAAATGCTACGAATTTATTGCTGCATCTTGATCGCCTGCATAAAAATATTAATCCAACTAAGCCAGTGGACTCTAAAAAAGAACCTGCAGGTACAGGTACTGCCTCCAAAAGCAATTACTACGATGACGATGTATTACCAGGGCCATCCAGAGCAAGATCTCGATCTCCTTCGCCAGTAAGTTCAGAACAAAGTTCATCTTCATCTTTCACAGTTGCCCCAAAGCGTCAAAAAACCATGACAGATTCGTTTGAGTATATACGATCGTTTTCAGAAGGTGGCAGTAAAAATCGTCAAATAAAGGAATCGATTTTATATATGATATGTAAAGATTTACAACCATTTTCTTTTGTTGAAAATGAAGGCTTCCTGAATTTGATGAAGGTAACTGTTCCTCAATTTAAAGTACCAAATAGAACTAGCTTTACTCGACTTTTGGACCTCAAATATGATTGTGTAGCTGCGAATGTTCGTGAAAAGTTGAGTAAAACAAAGAATATTACACTAACCATGGACGTGTGGACTGATACGATGCAGACGCGAAGCTTTTTAGGCCTTACAGTACACTATTGCTCTGATAATGAAATAGAACTAGCATCAAGTACTTTGGGTGTAATCGAGCTTCAAGAACGACATACGGGACAATATTTAGCTGATGAATTAGTAAACATCTACAGAATGTGGAATATAAAAAAAGAAAATATTTCAGCAATCGTAACTGACAGCGGTGCCAACATATTAAAAGCAGTAGAGTTGGGGTTTGGAAAAAAATATAGTATTCCCTGTTTTGCACATTTAATTAATTTGGTTGCTGAAAAATCTGTTAGTGACGTTGCTTACTTGTCTACTCTGATATCAAAATTAAAAACGATTGTTACCTGGTTTAAAGCAAGCGTAGTGGCTAGCGACGAACTAAGAAAAGCAACTGGTACTGAAACAAAACTAATTCAAGAAGTTAGTACTAGGTGGAATTCTAAGTACTTTATGATAGAGCATTTTTTGGAACTAAGACCAACCATAAATGAAATTATTAATCGACATAGATCAGCACCAAATATGATCAGTGCAAAAGAAGCTGAAGAACTAGAAGAGATTAAGCACTTATTGCGACCCTTGGAAGCGGCAACTAGAGAATTATGTGGGGAACATTATGTAACCAGCAGCAAAGTTATCCCAATGGTACACTGCCTTCTCGGTAAAATTAATGAAACGTCAGCTGTTTTAGAAATTGGTAAAGAATTAAAAAAAAGTTTGCTTAAACAGATGGAAAAGAGATTTGGAGATATTGAAAACGTAGAGATACTAGCAGTGTCCACATTACTGGATCCACGTTTTAAAAGACTTCATTTTAAGAACCCATTAGCTTGCGCAAATGCTGTTAATTTATTACAATGCCTTTACAAAGAAGAACTTAAGTTACAGAAAGCTGGAGAACCTTACGTTGGCGATGTTGACGGAATTGACAATGTAGATGCAAATCCAGGTAAAACTAATATTTTTCAATAAAATGAAAGCTAATTTTTGCATCTATTCTTATTTTTTCAGGCAGTTCAAAAGAATTTAATTTGTGGAGCGGTCACCATACAATTGTTGAACGAACGAAATCGAAACAATTAGATGAATATTCTACAGATATTACATCAGAAGTCACTCAATACTTAAGGAGTCCAATTTCCAATTTTTCTGATAACCCGCTGTCTACTTGGAAAGTAATGTCTAGAACACATCCCATCCTAGCAAAATTGGCCCAGAAATACTTATCGATTGTGGCAACCTCCGTACCTTCTGAACGTCTTTTCTCTAAGGCAGGGCAAACACTGACACAAACGAGAAATCGTCTGAAAGGAAAAAGACTTTCAAAGTTACCATTTTTAAATAGTGTTAATAAGAAGTTTTGGAATGTGTAAATTAATTTGTTTTTATTTTATGTTGCAGTTCATTTTCTATATGGATTTAGGATTATATGTTTAGAGTAATCTGTAATCTAATGTATAACTATATTCCAAAAGTATATTTTTAAATAAAAATGATTTGAATTATGATTATTTACTTTACTAATCAAAACTAGCAATATTCGCTGATTCGATACATCGATTTTTTTGAAAATATCGATGTATCGGAAAAAACGATGTTTTCAATTTTCGATACATCATTTGATACCAGTATCGATGTTTTTTCAAATTTGGGCATCCCTATTCGCATGACCATCATACACTGGATTGCGCCTGTGCTGTCCCTTCTCCGAGCGATGATTCCGATGCAAAGATCGTCGCCGGCCGATCGCCGGTACGTCAAGAAACAATGCATCGGAATCACCCTCGTGCGGTATGGGATCATGGTACGGACTGGATACCACTGGCAACATTCGAGCGTCCAACTGAACACGCCATGTAAAACTGGGCGTGTACAATGTTTTTATTATGATTTCGAATCTGTCGTGAGATCTAGCGGATATTCCTGTCACCAGATCATCGCACCCATCGCCTTAACTTTCGGGCAATAAACGCTATTTATTTATTTATAAGGCACACAACGTGAATAAACCTGTCTATCACTTGACAAAGAGCAATCCAAGCGCACAAAATAATAAGATTGTGGCTATCATAGCACAGCATAAACATGGCCATAATATAGCTCTAACTCGATTCCGCCTATTGAGCCGTCACCCAAATCCCACGAAACAACCTAATGTCGGATTCGTCGTAATACGACAGAACCGTAAACCTGCTGATCTGTGATTCCCTGCCCATTCAATCCGCTCCCCTGTAATCTGACAACACACATCCAGGAGCATCACGCTGTCACCTTAGAGCCGCCGTATACGACTAATATCCACCGAGGTGACGGACGTATCAAATCCGGGCGAGAGCCAGTTTGGGTCAGCATGGATTTCCCATGGGGCCAGCGTTATGCGTCTGTCTGTTTCCAACGCCTGCTATGTCACGGCATCCGCAAATCTGGAATTTTGTAATATTCTCCCATGGGCGTGGGGAACAGGAAAAATGATCGGATTCACTGGAGGTACTTTGCTCTGCACGCAACATGGGATTTGGAAAATAAAAATAAAGGTCAAGGGTTATTGGGGATAGGATATACGAGGGTAATTTTTACGTAAAAACTGTTTTGTAATATAGTCCGACATTAACATTTTCTCATTTTTGAACAAATTCCTACCACAAACATTTGAACATTTGTCAAGTCATGGCACCAGCTTTGTGATCCTTTCGTCTATTACCGTCTATATTTAAATGACCTTGAGTACTGTTCCTCTAAAGGCAGATTTATTTTATATTTAGTGATATCGAATGAGTGTGAGCACACCTTAGAGGGGGATTGTAAGGTTTAGCAGCAATCAGCTCTACTTAAATTCTGAAAAAACATCATTTGTCCAATTTCATAACATCCAGAAGAAACCTATGACTTTGAATATTACTATTAATGGCTCACGAATATCTCTTGATACGCTAGTAAAATTCTTGGGTTTGTATATACTCGTAGATACAGGTTTAGGCTTGGGAGACCACTGTGTGTACTGCTCCAAAGATAAACTCCCAACCATATCAAATGAGAAATTTGCCAAAGGTCCTTGCTGAAGCTAGATTCTGTTTATTATGTTCAAGGTGAGACACGACTGAGGTATGCACTATGCATCTGGGGTTTGTTCACAAATATCTACCTAGTGACTTTGATTCAGAAAAGATTGGTTAGATGTATGATCGGAGTCAGTAGTAGACATTAACATTTTCTCATTTTTGAACAAATTCCTACCACAAACGTTTGAACATTTGTCAAGTCATGGCACCAGCTTTGTGATCCTTTCGTCTATTATAGGACCGTCTATATTTAAATGACCTTGAGTACTGTTCCTCCAAAGGCAGATTTATTTTATATTTAGTGATATCGAATGAGTGTGAGCACACCTTAGAGGGGGATTGTAAGGTTTAGCCGCAATCAGCTCTACTTAAATTCTGAAAAAACATCATTTGTCCAATTTCATAACATCCAGAAGAAAACTATGACTTTGAATATTACTATTAATGGCTCACGAATACCTCTTGATACGCTAGTAAAATTCTTGGGTTTGTATATACTCGTAGATACATGTTTAGGCTTGGGAGACCACTGTGTGTACTGCTCCAAAGATAAACTCCCAATCATATCAAATGAGAAATTTGCCAAAGGTACTTGCTGAAGCTAGATTCTGTTTATTATGTTCAAGGTGAGACACGACTGAGGTATGCATTATGCATCTGGGGTTTGTACACAAATACCTACCTAGTGACTCTGAATCAGAAAAGATCGGTTAGATGTATGATCGGAGTCAGTAGTAGACATTTGTGTAAGAATATTTCAAGCACCTTGAAATTTTAACTTTACCGTCATTATTTTATACGAAATGGCTGGGTATACTTTTATTCACAAAACTGGGTTTTTAAAACAATCTTATCTCGTACTCGACAAGCTCAAAACTTGATTGTGTGTTTTGACAAGTATAAGATCAGCGTCAAATCTCCGGGAATACCGAATCCACGCATTTTCAGTAGGCTATCAAATCACATTAAAGGGTGTGGTGATCAATGATCTAAGCTTGTTACTTTATGATTTTGTGTTGTTTTCTTAGTTTTTACTATGAAGTATCCTGTACAGGTTAGGAATGTTCAGTATTATTTTATATTTTGTCTCACCCGATAAATGTTATTTTGTCTCACCTGATAAATGTATCCGAGCCAGTCGACTCGCGCTTATCTTGATGGTGTTGATAAAAACAGTGTATGCCTGACCACTTTTTGTTTGGTTTTTGCAGCGATCAATCATGAACGCTCTGTTGACGAGATCAGATCTGAATTGTTTGTGTGCAATACAAGTAGTGTTTTGAGCGATAATTAGTTTGATTTCGACATCAAGCTAACATCAGAAGTGGGATGTACGGTGCGTGCCAAAGACCATGACATTTTTCTTGATGTTTGGTAAGAGAGAGCTAGTACTCAAGTATCCGGATGTTTATTTTGGAACTTTAAATGGTTGATATGTTAATTTTCGAACCTTAAATGGTTGACTTATGTTCTTCTGGAACCTTAGATGGTTGATTTATGTTTATTTTGGACCCTTAAATGGTTGACATGTTAATTTTCGAACCTTAAATGGTTGACGTATGTCCTTTTGGAACCTTAGATGATTAATTTATGTTTATTTTTTAACCTTAAATGGTGGACATGTTTATTTTCGAACCTTAAATGGTTGACTTATGTTCTTTTGAATAAATAATAAAAAATTGATTATTAAAAACATGAAAAAAAAGATCCCTAGATGGTTAGCTGTATTATTCCGAATCAAAGGGCGAAATGGTGTTTAACACTACGTTAAGAATGTTTTGAAAAAAGAACCTTAGATGGTTGAGATAAATTTGTATTTTACCTAGTTAGCTGTATTATTCCGAATCAAAGGGCGAAATGGTGAACACCACGTTAAGAATGTTTTGAAAAAAAAAACCTTAGATGATTGAGACAAATTTGCCGCTAGAGAGCACGCCCCGCCGGCGGGTTTGAATACCGCGCATTATCCATCAAGCTGCTGTCGAATTTCAGCAAGAGGCATTTTTTTCATTGGAAGACCGAACTACTGAGTACACTTCACAATTCAGGTTTACTGATTGACATGACGACAAGAAGCCACACCATACAACCAACACCGACAGAGTCGTGAAACGTAAAGGCGACACAGTGAGGGATTGAGTGTCTGAGGTTGAACGGAGATCACGTGACAGGATGTGCGAAATGTAACTTTCAGAATTAGTATTATTCAGAGAGGTGTTTAATAAGGTTTCTTTGTCCCAATTGGAATAATTAGTAGTAATATGTTAAGTAATACGTACTGAGAGACAAAATATACGATCAGCTAACTTTTGCAAACTATTGAGAAATAAAACCTTAAACCGACCACCTGCCAGATTATGGCAGTAGGTCGGAAATGGTTATTTAACTTTTTCTGCTTTGTCATTTTAGTGTGGTTAAAATGCTCCTAGAGACAAAGTGGTAACTGATTTGGACTCAACGAAGCGAAAACCTACATAACACGCGTCTGGACTCGAATGCTGAACTTATTTGAAATTTATTCTCTGTGTGACCTTGGAATAACCTTCAGATGCTCTGACCTCTGATTCGAATTTGGTAACCAGAAAAACCTAAATAACAATCAGGATCCACTTTTCGGCTTCTTTTCAAAATGTCCTCGATATGAACTTGAAGTGACCTTCGAATGCCGTCGTAAAGACAAACTAAACACAGATTTGGAATCAGTGATCCAAAAACACTATTGTACTGAATATTCTATAAATGCCGTAATAACTTTATTCTTGACAGCTTCTGTGCATTTGGAGGTACAATTTTTTCACGATTCTGAAACTATAGCTTGTAATCAGTCTGTATAATGAAACTGTAGCGAACGAAAATGAAAGTGAAGTCACCATCGAGGATGTCGCCTATTCGGTGGTATGCTTGGAGAATGAATATATGAGCTCTGGTGCCCGCTGTATCCGAATATGTGTTTTCCTAGCTCAGCGTAAATCCTTCCTCAGGCATTTTCCACTAGACAACTCAACGAAAGTCAGTCCGCTCGGCTGCATATCAAAATGGAAATGTGATGCAACCCCTGCGCACTTACACTAAATTATAAAGATTTATGTTACATTTTGCGTTCTACGAATGCTCC